TGAACAGCCATTATTTGAAAAAGAAATGTTTTGTAAAAAATAAATGTCTTGAAAAAAATTCTTACTGACCCCAAACTTTCAAAGGTCATAGTGTTCCATCCCTAATACATTTCCACATAATTATCAAAAACATTTGTAAGAAACAATGCAATAGCTGACAAAGTTTGCTACTAAATGAAAAGTCTTGTTGGAATCCTCCCATATTCTTATGGCATTACTCCTCTAAATGAGATCATGATTGACAGAGCAGATTCAGAGCAACACAAACATAAAACACACACACACACAGTAAGTATAAAAACCACCAGTGTAATAAATAAAAACGTTTTTTATGATCAAGTCATGCTTCAGCTGAATGAAGGACATTAATGATGACAGATACTTTATGAACTTAATAAATGTAAGTATAACTTAATAAGAGTAAATAAATACTAAATAAACTAATAATAATAAATCCTACCTCCCATTGGACGAATTACCCCCATTGTTTTTTTCCTGTTCGGCCTCATACACCAGACGGGCGACAGTACGAGGGGTGATGTTAAAATCCACTTTCTCGCAGGAACACATCAGCACCCCAATTTAGCCGGCAAGCTAACAGATAACGTAGCTTTCGTCGCCAGTTTTCAAATTTAGCCAGTTTTTTCTAATTTTTTTTATTTCTGTTTAACTATTCCGAGTCAACATACGCAGAAAAATGCGTAAATGTCAAATCACACTTCAGTAAATAAACCATGTTAGGCGTTAGCACCGGTCAGCCGTAACGTTACTACTCAGTTGAGGCGAATACTAGAAGCTAGTTGGCTACGTTAGCATGCTAATGATACCGGTGAGAGAGAAAACGGTCCTCTGTTTACTTTTTCTTATCCGTGATTTCACCTTTCGACCGTTCCGAAATCCTAGTCACAAGACTAGCACTAGTCATTGTTTGTTCTGTTAAAATATGCCTCCTTAAATTAAGTACTTAAATTACATTTCAAGTATACGAATTTTTCCTAAGTTTAAATGCTACGCGAAGAGATAGTAAGAGCTTAGTTTCCAATGCGACGGGCAAAAAGTTGACAGGGGTCGATTCAAACTCCAAAACGAGTACAGTGACGCTTTGAGAAATAAGTAATTAAAGTCTGAACACATATGAGGAGAAAAATAAATATGGACATCGTTGATATTAAAACGCGGCTCAATATACTGAATACTGAATTGCTAAAAAATACTGAGTTGCTTAACTACACCCCCGCCCGTTTCACTTTATGGTACAGTCGAGCGAGAATCCGTCAAAAGACTCTTCAGCGTGCGCAGACCAAAAGTAACGGTTGTTTTGGCGTTGTGTACTAGCAGGCCTGCACACAAATAATTCATCTTAAACAGCGATACAGTTCTTAAAATTACATAAATTAACAGAATATATGGAATATCTAAATGTAGTATATGTGCATATTACCAACGCCTGATTAAGAGCAATAATAAAGCATGACAAGTGACAGTCATCAAAAATCCAATAAATAATTATAGGCTTCAATCATTCTATACTTAAGATAAATATTAGCTATTCCTACCCTATATAGTTCGTATATAATCTACATCACTAAATTTTCCCCAGTCTGACCTGATTTATTTGCTTACTGCGCCCTCGTCAGGACATTAAGTGTAGCGCGTTTAACCTAAACTCAAAATAGAGGAGGAACACCTTAATAATATGGGAGTCCAACAATGACAGTTGATGTTTAATAATAATATAGTAGAAATCCTAAAAGAGTGAAGAATGAGTAGGTATTGGATAAAGCTGCTTACCTTGAATGCTTGTTTGAACGCTTTTAATAAACATTACTCTATCAAGCAGTGAGAGATGCGTTTGGAATTGATATTTTCTTGTCCGTTTCTCGCCAAGAATAGTCACCTTGCTTTCAGAGAGCTAAAGAAAAACAGACACTTTATTATGACTATTGTTGAGGCGACCTGTTGACCATTCATCTCATAGTCTTAACTTCACTGATTATGTTTTGTTAAAGAGTGTAGCTATAAAAACAAAATGATCTCATACTTGATACTTGAAACATACTTGAAAAAAAGATTTACAGGAAACCACCTAGCTGTAAGTTCAATATTAACCGTTCATATTTAGCCTATGTTTCATGCGGAAAACATTGGGCTAGAGTTCATTTGATGTATAGAATGCTATGTAAACAAACTGATATCCAGTCAAAGCTTTTCCTGTCAATCAGGTTCCGCGAGAACGTTTCGGTTATTACAAAAATATGAAATAACCTTGACTCGCCTCTTAATTCGATTTTGACAGGGTTTCAGCACGTGCTCTCTCTCGTGCCAGTGAGTCGTCTGATTTTATGAGTTGTGTTGGTAGCGGAGAGATTCCATAGGGTTGTGTTGCTGTCCGTCTGCTGGCACTGAATAGGCATCTGGAAACTCGAGCGGTGCTAAATATAAAAATATAAAAGTTCACCAGCTCGTGGGAGTCGTTAAGGAAATCAAGTGGGACGCTTTGCGTATGGCCGGGTTGTGTTGTGAAGGGTGGTCTGAACGTTTGGAGGACCAAAACAACAACCATCACTCCGTAGAAGTTTATCAGCTGCTCAGTAAACCCCTGACGCAATTTGACATGACATGACATGTTAGTGTAAATACTTTACCTTCACACACAGCCTGCATGGTCTAAACGGACAATGGTCCTTATGTGATTTAGCCTATTTATAAAGCATGCCAGAACAAATAGTAAATAAATATATATTGTTTTTAATCTAATAATAATTAGATAAGATAGTGGAATTATCATTTCCATTAGGGAATATTTTGTTAACCTTGCTGTCCAATGAAACGTCCTTGTGCTCAAGACTAAATATACTGACTTTGAACATCAGTGCCATGAAAAGAAAACAGAGAAGCTGTATGATAAACCACAGCAAAATAAATCTGTATCACAGCATAAACACAATTTATCAACTACATTTTACAGTGGTGCACATTTTAAAACTTCCAAATTTACAATGTCAATCTCTGGACGTTTTGACTTTTTTTCTGAATATTACAACCAATGATACTTTATTTTCAATTAATGTCACACATTGTGAGGTGTTCACAAAATTATGAATAATATAGGTATATACCAAAACAACATTATTAATATTTCCTCAGCGAGGAATATAAGATATTGTCTTTAAAGGCTTCTTTTATAGAACAGATATAGCATCTTCGAAGGGCACCTGCCACTGTAATTTACTCTAAGCTCATTTGGCAGTAAAATTCGGTGGAAACTCAAGCAGAACTCTTTTGCATGTCGAATCTCTTTTGTGTTCCCTGTGACAGCACTGTATATTGCAAAATCCTACAAATCTATTCACATCTTTACTGAATACTTACGCTTATTCTTAATGAATGTGAGCAGAGCTCCTTTCCTTATCATTTCAAACATTTGCTGTCTAACAAAGGAGGGAAATGCAAATGTTATTATAATTCAGTAAAAACAATCCTGTTTCCATTGTACTACATTTAGCTAACTTGTTTATTCATTTTCAGGAACACAAACCACACCAACCATAACGGATCAGGTCTGGATCTCAGTAATGTCCTTGGCTTATAGTCTCTGAAATTAACTCATTATAAGCCAAATACTACTAAAACTAGTTTATTTTGATATCATGTTCATTCCTTAAATCCAACTAAAAATATAAAGATGATTTCTGAGAATTTTGACATTAGGAAAGCAGGCCTGTGTGCTCATTTGATATGGCAAGCCATTTCAACATATGTTCCTTAAAGGAACACTCCACTATTTTTGAAAATAGGCTCATTTTCCAACTCCCCTAGAGTTAAACAGTTGAGTTTTACCGTTTTCGAATCCATTCAGCCGATCTCCGGGTCTGGCGGTAGCACTTTTAGCTGTAGCTTAGCATAGATCATTTAATCTGATTAGACCGTTAGCATCTCGCTCAAAAATGACCAAAGAGTTTCTATATTTTTCCTATTTAAAACTTGACTCTTCTGTAGTTACATCGTGTACTAAGACTGACGGAAAATGAAAAGTTGCGATTTTCTAGGCCGATATAGCTAGGAACTATACTCTCATTCCGGCGTAATAATCAAGGAACTTTGCTGCCATACCATGGGTGCAGCAGGCGCAATGATATTACGCAGCGCCTGAAAATAGTCCCCAGCACGCTCCCTGTGCAAGCAGGTGGTCATGTTGGCGGAAGTTAGCCTATTTTCAGGCGCTGCGTAATATCATTGCGCCTGAGCGAGATGCTAACGGTCTAATCAGATTCAATGATCTATGCTAAGCTACAGCTAAAAGTGCTACCGCCAGACCCGGAGATCGGCTGAATGGATTCGAAAACGGTAAAACTCAACTGTTTAACTCTAGGGGAGTTGGAAAATGAGCCTATTTTCAAAAATAGTGGAGTGTTCCTTTAAGACTATAGTAGGCTATTTATTTTTAAAATTATTACTAAATGATGTATATATTTTTAATTTCTCTATAACTATTCATTAGATACTAGATATTCAGTACTTATTATCTAGAGCTTACTATTCCAATAATTAGAAGCAGTTTTTTAACTTGACTGGACTATAAAGTTGCTATTTTGAGTAGTCATTAGGTAAAAAAGTAAGATATAGTCTGTCTCATACACAGATACTTGTATCTAATAATAATAAACAATCTAGTAAAACTGATTTAGGTACCAGTATTAACTGGAATACATTCAAATCAAAAGTGAATTTTTCATATCTGAGATCTCCATAGAACCCAACAGCGCAAAAAACTAATAAAAACCAAACAATTACTGTCATTACTGTTGGGAAAGTGATTAAGGAATTGAACTGAATGGAATTAAAGGAATTGAATAGATACTATTGGATTATTTCTAGTACAAGTGCTAGAAACATCAAATAGGTAATAGTTTAAGGGAATAAATGTTAAAACGGCATGCCACGTGATTATTAGGTGATTTTATGGCAACTGGATGCCCCTCGTCTGAATCTGACTTCTCAAATTGCGTGTTGAGTTGCAAGCACAAGGATTCACACGGTCTATACTTAGCTCTCCTAAACGTCAAAGTCTGCGGCAAGACACGACCTGTTTTAGTGACGTGATCTAATTTTAAAACTTTTAACGCATTTCTTTAAATTATTTGATCGCTGGAGGACTGTGTTTAAATGTAAGTTTTTAGGAAAATCAATTGAAGAACGCGATTGGGATGCGTTTTGGTTTTAAAATAAGAACGGAGGCTGTTATAGCCCAGTAATGTTTAAGAAAGTGTGATAAAAACAAGCGAAACGTCGGACACATTTTGAGGAAGCGATTTATTAATGCATCGGTTCATGGTGAACTGTGAAAATGGCACTGGGAATGATTTCATTTTTGGCTCTCTGCATCTTTTATATTCAAGGTAAGTTGTAGCATGCTAATGTGAAATAACGATATAGCCTAAACGATTTAGAGGATATTATATATTTAGGGTAAAATTATCGAGTGGATCAATCATCAGAGGGACCAATTCTCACTCTTAACTAGTTGCTTATTAGCATGCATATTACTAACATATTGGCTGTTTATTAGTACTTATGAAGCACATGTTAATGCCTGATTCTGCATGACCATATTTTAGATCCCTTAATTCTACCCCATACCTAAACTTAACAACTACTAACTATTAATATGCAGCAAATTATAAGTTTATTGAGGCAAAAGTCATAGTTAATAGTGAGAATTGGTCCCCAAACTAAAATGTGACCAAAAAGGGACCTACTGCCATACCAGTTCATTGCTTAATGCATCAGAACCCCCATGCATCTTTTTCTTGCTTGTTAAACATTCTGTACATCAGTCTCAATGTATCTCACTGTAGTGCCGCAGGGCCAAACTGGATGTGCTGAAGTGGACTCCACGACGGAGGCTGTGGCTGGAAAAGGCTTTCTGTTGGGTTGTATTTCCTGCAAAAGGAGAGAAGAAGTGCCTGGTTCTGCTATTGTTGATTGGCACTTCAAAGCAGCTGGAACTGAGGAGTTTATCCAAGTTAGTAAAGTGATTCTTTGAATCAGATCAGGTTGTTTGGTCAGCTTGACACATAAATGGCTTTTCACACTTGAACTATTCAATCCTGGGTCATTCTAAACCCCGGGGAAACAGGATCCTGGGTTATCTTGCTTCAGGTTTCACACTGCTCATAATTTACCCGGGGTTAATAATTAATCCTGGGTATTCATAAACTGACGTTTCACATTGTACATTCCTAAACCCTGGGTTAACATTCTTATTTGAATATGTGATATTTTACCCAAGGTTAAAAGCAGGGTTTAGAATGACAATAACCCAAAGTTAAGCATAGTGTGAAAAGCCCTATAGAACTTAAAGTAAATGTTTTAAAACAAAGCATAGAAAGTTACTCAGTTTAAATGAGCTGAAAAGATTTTTTAAAGACTTAACATCTGATTTTATTCTAGTAATATCTCTATCCCTCTCAGATTTTTCAGTATGAATATAATAACCCCATCATTCTTCATGAAAACTTTGAGGGAAGATTAGAGTGGCAAGGAACTATGGGGACAAAGGATGTGCAAATTGGTGCCATCTTTATTCACAATGTCACATATAATGACACTGGGACGTACCTCTGTACCTTCCACCGCACGCTGTACCTTCCTCTGTATGAGGAACATGTGGTAATAAATAAAGAGGTGGAACTCACAGTTGTGGAAAAAGGTGAGATCCATTCAAGACCCTCTAACAAGCAAAAAATATTTGACAAATAATTTGAATATCTGAATTTGTTACTCCCCAAGCCAACCCTGAGCTAACGGCTGTGATCTCCGAGATCATGATGTACGTGTTGATCGCAGTTCTGCAGTTGTGGATGATTGGAGTGCTGATTTACTGCTATAGGAAGATCTACGCTGAGAACGAAGCTTGCGAGGCCAAAAAAGCTGCATGCTCTCAAAACAAGTAAGGCTCACGTTCGTGTTGTTTGTTTCACACAACATACATGTTATTTTATATCTTTCTGATTCAAAATTTCCTGCTTTTATCTTGTGTTTTCACAGACTCGTTGAGTCGAAAGATCCTTGTGATGGCATTTATTTGGAATAACACTAGTTTTGGTTTGTAGGCTTATTATTTTCAGTGAATATAGACAAGGCTGCTAGTATATTTGATACATAGTGTTAAAGGAATAGTTCATCCTAAAATGAAAACTTGCTAAAACTTTACTCACGCTCAGGCCATCAAAGATGTAGCTGAGTTTGTTTCTTGATCAGACCAGATTTGGAGAAATTTAGCATTACATCACTTGCTCACCAGTGGATCCTCTGCAGTGAATGGGTGCCGTCAGAATGTGAATACAAACTGCTGATAAAAACATCAGAATAATCCACAAGTAATCCACATGATTCCAGTTCATCAATTAACGTCTTGTGAAATGAAAAGCTATGTGTTTGTAAGAAACAAGTCCATCATTAAGGCTTTTTAACTTTAAACTGTCACTTCCAGCCAAAATAGTCCATAATCCATATCGCTTCCTACAGTGAAAAAGTCCATTTCCTTTTGTCCTCTCACATCAAAATCCACCAACATATTTGTTTAGAACTGTTTTGGACTGTTTTATTACAAACATGCAGGCATGTTGATTACTAGTGGATTATTGCGATGTTTTTAATCAGCTGTTTGGACTCTCATTCTGATGGTAGCCATTCACTGCAAATGATACATTGGTGAGTAAGTGATGTAATGCTAAATTTCTCCAAATCTGTTCCGATGAAGAAACAAATCTTGGATTTACCATAGGGTGAGTACATTTTCAGCAAATTTTCATTTTGAGGTGAACTATTCCTTTAATAATGAGGATGGTGAGGAGGACTAGTCTTGCAGCCAATATAAACCTCTGTATATTTCTAGTGACATTTCTACAGTAGTATAGCATTGCATTGACTAAGCTCACATAGCAATAAAAACAAATACAACATATTGTATTCATAAGACATTATATGCAAAGTTGAATAAGGAATATAAAGAGTCTGAATAAATAAACATTTTAATTGTGAATTACATCAGTCTGAAAAAACGAAAATGGTTTGCGGAAAATAAAATAAAAATCATCTGGTTTCTTGAATTGCTTGTTTATTGACTGGTGATAAAAAGATAAGACAAAAGAAAAAAGTATGGGAAACAACATTCAAACAATGGCAAGTTAAAATGTTAAAACACCATTTGTTTGCTGTTATTGTGAAATGGAAGTTCCTTGCTTTCGTTATGTATCCTGTATACTAATTAGACAACAAGTAAATAAAAAACATTAAATGTAAAAATTTAATGGCGTTTTCACTGATGCTCCAGGTCTTCTATCAAGCAAACATCAGTGTCCTTGAGAGCTTTGTATAAGGCATCTTTCCCTTTAGTGCCAGCAGATTTAATTGGGCCCATTAATAATTCTCTCATCTTGATTTGTGGGGTTTTCTCAGCACGGATGTTACTGTAAACCTCCTCTGTGATGACTTTCTTGTCTAGAAGTTCATCTAGGATGGCATCTACATTATGCACTCGTCTTATCAGCTTTGTCCGATTCCTGTCGATGAAGTGCTCTATGAAAGAGATGGAAACAAGCATGTGGTCGGATTGTGTGGATACTGATGATGGAGTTTATAATAATCAGTGCTATGCATTGTGATATTTTAGGTCATAAATGAACGTTTTAATTACCGATACCAAACAGTAAAGTGATTTGAAACCTATTTTCCAAATAAATGCCGTTCAAAAACAGTTACACTTATTCACCATTAGATGGAGCGCCTGGGCCTGGTAAAGGAACAAGTGGAGCTGCTGAAAGTTAAAGTTAATGATACTCACAGTAAATCTCCACGTTGCACATTCATACACGTGCACAGAAACTATATATATATATATATATGGATTAGGTTGTTAATGAAGAATACAGCTAATTATTATTATTACAGATTATTTAACTGGCCTCTTTTCCCGTGCTTAAAATGATTGTTCTCCTCTTAAAACGATTGCAATCAAATGGCGGTGTACACGAAAGTCAAAGGAAATTGAAAGTAAAATTGAGTTGAAGTCAACGCAGGAGTAATTAGAAATAGGAATCAAAAAGAATTCGGATTTGGATTTTTTTTTTTTGCATTAAAATCATTTTTCTTTTAAATGGAACCGCTTGTAGGCTATCTGTGATAATTAAAACGTTATGAATTTAATTTGTATTCGAATTCTTTTATACTAGTTTACTTACATTGTCCTGTGTTCTCTTTGAACTCCATTGCTTGTTGATTACAGCAAATAGCCTGTAAAATTTCGATTGTTACAGGAACAGCACCAGTCGTTGTGAAAGTGTTCACCATTAAATCGGCGAGATCTATAGAATCATTAGCTTTTTCGATTGCAGCTCGTCGTACGCGAGGCTCTGTCTTCCGGTCGCACAGTTTGCTTTTAAACTTTTTCTGATTTTCCTCCCCCAGATCATCAAAAGTATCTTGCAGGTGATCTTTAATAGTTTTTGCCATAGTTCCTTAGTTTATTAAAAGTGTCGTTCCTCTTCTAAAAGCTGCTGAGGAGGATAAACTGCTGCTAAACAGGCCTGACGTTTGATGTGTAGCCTACAGCAGGGTGTGTCTTTAGACTTACTCTAAACATTTCCTGCCCTATATAGGCCACTTTCTTGTAAACATATAGGGTACAAGAAAGTGGACTTTGGTGTTCAGTTGCTTTTCTGAAAGCATTAGAGGCACAAATCCCATGTTATTTTGTTGTGATACTTGAAAGGTACGTTTTATCTACAGTTTGCACACACTTTAGCACTCCAGCATCCTGACTCAACCAAACTGTACCTCAGAGAAAGTCATGATACTTTCCAGCTGCGTCTCTCTTCCCACAGTTTTCATGATCCAAAAACACAAAGATGATTCAGTGAAACAATGAAAATTACATGTATACAGACCTCCATAGGTTCCTCTAGTACAGTGAATCTCAACCTTTTGGCGTACCGGACCCCAGTCCAATTCAGAACCATCCTCAAGGACCCCCAGAACAAAATTGACTAATCTATGTATCATTTGTGTCTTTGTGAGGACCAAATGCAGTCAAGTATAGTTCAAGTTAGCTGACTTGTCCAGTATTTGGCCATATCATCAGCTATATTGGATTTTTCTTTCATGGGAAAATGTCATGTCAAAATATACAAAATTTATACAAAAATTCCACGGACCCCTGGTTGAGAAACATTGCTCTAGTACAAGGTTCTGCGGAGCTCACGTGATCTGCTGAATTCGTTGTTAGTTTCACACTGTTAGTTGGGGGAAAAAAGAGGCAGCTTTACTTCCTCAATCCTGAGTCAAACACTTCACAAGCAGCATTTTTTTTGTGCCTAAGGAGACTGGTTGCTGTAATATCTAATAAAATTGTTTTGCTCCAAAAGTCCACCTGTGCTATCATTAGTGTTATTATAACGCAAAGACTAGCTATAGCTGTTATAAAAAGGAAGAGCAATGTTAACATTTGTTTTAGAATTATAGAGTCACTTTTAGAATTTTAAATTGTTTAAAACACTTTGGACAACAAATGGTTTCAGATAGAGACACATTAGTCACTCAACACTTTATACACACATTTTTAGAGAGTGTATTGTAATATATACCGGTGTCGTTTGAAGGTCTTTATGGTTTCGTATAACACAACAAAAAACTTGTTTGTGCAAGACAGGACTTTTATGTATTAGAACAGGTTTTCTTTCCAGAGAAAAGGCAAAGTTATTGATTCATTTGTAAACAATTATGCCTACTAAAAACTGTTTAAGAATTTTTTTTTCTTTTTTTGAAAGAACTTTTTTCAGACATACAGTATAGAGATGGTTCAGGCTACGCTGGAGATTCAAAATTCACAGATGAGGAGTCAGAACATGTACAACTGGTATATCAGAGCCCCGGGAACAGGTAGAACAACTTTGGCAGCGACGCTCTGTCTTTACATGCCATTTGTCTGAAGCGCCCCATCAAATCTGACCTGTCAAAGCGTCTAATAACCTGTAAAAAGAGAACATAATGAACATTGGTGACAAGAAACCAAAGTTCTGAAGGTTATGAAAAATACTTTTGATCTTTTTTTAAAAAAGAAACATAATGCACACTGATTGCTCTTGCAGCAGCGTCTGATTTACCTTCCTGAACAATTCCTCAATGTGATCCTCATGTGCATGTTTCATTAACACATCCACTAGGTTTTGGACATAAAATGTTCCATTCTGAACATGCCTGTAAGATTTGGTGTCTGTATACAGACAGAGAAATTTCAGTAGTGGAATTAGGTGCTTTTAAACTTTACAAACAATAATGAAACTGACATTGAATAAGCTACAAAATATGTTTTGGTGAAATTTATTAATGAATTTTTTTGGTTGGTCATGATTCCCTTCAATTAAAGTTTTTAAGACATCTTCATCTAACGAAAGCAAAGTTCAAATGCAAACAGAATTTTTTACCCGGCGTGCAGGACATCAGAGAAATGAAGTCTTTCTCCTTGTGCACAAAGTCATCGCCCTCTACAGCCATCGACTCACCGTCACTGGCCCACACGCGTCCATGCTCCCCTGAAAAGATATTTGGATAAGAATGTGTAAGCCTTTTTCAACAGCACAGGTGAGATGTGTAGTTATTATAATGATGAGACCTCAAATATCAAAAACAATGAACAACTGTATTTTTCCGTAATTTTCATACCTCCCCTGCAGGCTTGGATAAGAATAACCTTTGGTTTATCACGCAGACCTGGACAATTCTCAGTGTTCAGACAGCGGTAGACTTTATCAATCGGGAAGGTATCAGAGGGATTGGATATTGGATTATAACGGACACCCAATATGGCATCCCTTTTGCCGTGGGACATTATAACCACAAAGGTGCTGTCTGAATATGCATGTTCTTGACGTTTAGCAAAGTCCTTGACTGCTTCCTCTATGTCCTGCCAATCAGATAAACTCGATTTAAAAAACTAAATCAAGACACTTATAATAAATACAATAAGATGAACATTTTAGATGCATAATAATAAAAGATAAAGGTTTTCAATAAAAAGCTGTATGCATCATCTGAATACTTTTCTCTACAAATCAGCTAGTTTCATAAGACCAGACTTGCGCACCTTTGCAGAGAGATTTTTGTACTTGACAACTTGATAATCCAGCTCTTTTAACAGCCATTCCATGTTGTCTTCATCTCTGTCCGCCCCTCTTCTTGTCATATCCTTATCATCAAAATCTATGTTGTTGATAAGCAGGGCAAGACGTTTTCTTACAGACTTGTCTTTTATTTCGTAAATCTAGAAAAAACAACCAAGAAATGTTAATGCAGAATTAAACCACAACCAATTCAATAGCAAACTATAGCAACTGTCATTCATGCTATAGCTCTGTGTCATTAGAAAGACTATTAATGTGTATTATTAACAAAAACTTTGTTTGATGAATTTGATGAATACTTGCCTCCTGTCCATTTTCTCTAAGAATTTTGTTTTTAAATTCTTGGCTGCATGGAAGAACATGCAATTGTGTGTGCCAATCATCTGACAGAGCAAACTCGACCTTCAGACCCAGACCTGCTCCTGAGTCTACTACATCCACATGTGACCGGGCCACAGGCAAACCTAGAAAGCAGAAAACAGGTCATGAGCATATCAGTAATCCTATTTTAATATATACGATATTACTCACCCCTATGTTTTGACATTTAAACCTGAAACCCCAGACTGCATATGTTCAGAAGTTTAAAAAAAATAAAAATACTGCCACGAAATGATTTTCATTCATTTGGATTAACAGTTCTTGAATGTGCATTCTAGGCTACGGAACATCATACTATAAAATACTCTGACAGCATTTCCTGCACTACTTGTCACCGTAAAGCACTAGGTTACTGAAACTACAGCGCGATATATAGCCTAGGCTACAACAGTGCTTCCTAACCATAAGTTAAAATCCGTGTAATCGGATTCGAAACGAAACTAATTGCTGCTTTTACACTACCACTCGCCGGTGTTGGGCCCAATTTCGACCCCCTGCCAAATTATTACCCCACTCATTGCCTACCTGATAATCCTAACCCCGCCCCTAATTATATCTCCTCCCTCTAAACCTGCCAGTTAATGGAGCTTGCTGACAAAATTACACAATCAACCTGTCTGCAACAGGTCTAAATGTATGGTCTATATATAGTCTTGCAGTTAACTTTAAATTACTTAAGCGACGATACAGTTGTGCAGTGTGAAAGGAATAGCAATCCAATGACGTTGGAAGTAAATATGATGTGTTGGCGGTATGCTTTAGACCAGAGGTGCCCAAATCTTTCATTCTGAAGGGCCAAAAATCCTTAACAAAAGCGCCAAGAGCAATTATATACAAATATATTATTTTTTTGTAGCCTAAATTAAATTCACGTCCAGTATAATACATTTCAAAGCAAAAATACAACAAAGCGTGTTAAAACGCAAAGTAAATTAGAAATGAGGATATGCTGCGATGGCATGTTGTAGCCTATTCTTCCTCCTATTTTGGCCCGCGGGCTCTGGTTTGGGCATCTCAAATGACTGAACATGGACTGATACTATTTCATATGACAACGTGTTGTTAAAGATGGCCTACATAATGGGGTTTGTTTAAATGTTATAAATAGGCCTACGAATGAATCTGTGTTACCATAGCCTACTTTTGTTAATATTAGCCTACAATGTTTATGTAATAATAGGCATGCTATATTGCATTTATGAGTCCTCTAAAGAAGATCTGGAAAGTTTTGGTAAAGAATTGTTTTCATTTTCTGATTTGCATTTGTTTTTCTTGAGAGCTAAAACTATTTGCAGCAGACAGCCGTTTTCCTTCTAGCCAACATTTAGTTTGGTATCTTTCATAAGAGTTTACTTACATTGTCCTGTGTTCTCTTTGAGCTCCGCTGCTTGTTCGTTACAGCCAATAACCTGTAAAATTTCGATTGTTACAGGAAGCGCACCAGTCGATGTGAAAGTGTTCACCATTAAATCAGCGAGATCTATAGCGTCGGTAACTTTTTCGATTTTAGCTTTTCGGACCCCCTGTTCTTTCTTCCGATCGCAGAGTTTATTTTTAAAACTCTTTAGCTCGTCCTTCCCAAGATCATTAAAAGTATCCTCCAGATGCTCCTTAATATTTTTTGCCATGATTGCTCCAGTGGCTGTTAAAGGTTTTCACGGAGGCTTGTACGTATTATACATACGCCCCCTGTGATCTCAGTGTCGCCTGCATGTTTGTTTCACTTTTCTTCTATACTGACCAATGAACAAGTCGATATGCATAAATATTCATGCACACTCCACCTGTAGGTGACTTGCGCCTTTTAGTAAGAATCTCACAATCCATATAGTTTTTGTTGGTTCTCAGGGTAGCAAACTTTAAAACATTTCACCCATCTGTAATAACAGACTATAAAGAAACTTGGGTCCCACTTTATATTAAGTGGCCTTAACTACTATGTACTTACATTTAAATTAATCATTTGGTACAATGTACATACATGTTTTTACATTGTACTTACCTGCATGTAATTACATCTGTAATTAATTTCTGTAATTACATTTATAATTACACTGTTGACCCATCCCTGACACCTTAACCGACCATTAAACCTACCCAGACCACCAAACTTGTCCCTAACCTTATCCCACCTCAATAGCAGCAAAAATGTTTTGCAATACAATATAAATACAATAAGTACATACTTATTTTTTGATGTAAGTACATAGTAGTAAAGGCCACTTAATGTAAAGTGGGACCGAAACTTGAAACTGGGCTAACAACATTTTATAAAAAGATGTATACTGTAACATATAATTTATTTACAAGAATGCACAATCTGATGTCAAAACATCAGTTTAATTAAGAAAAAAAAATACATTTACAAGATTAGTGTTCCAATGTCAAAAGAGGTAGCTAACAATGTTTTCTAAAGGCACCTAACTGCATTTGATGGCTGATTTCAGATGTGTTGTTGAAAATGTCACTCAGTCAAAAGTCCAAATCAGTTTAAAGTACATTTCTTTTCTCTGTCCTTACTATTTCCAGGGCACGACTTCTGATGTTTTACAGTTCGTTTCGATCATTACAGGCATTTGAAAATGCCCTCCTCTAATGTGCCCAGGACTTTGTGGTTTCCTCCGATCTGGTTGTGCTTACTACAGACTGTGGAGATGCACCATTTGATGGAGAGATGTTTAGACTTGCAAAGACCTCGTGTGCCGTTTTTCCAAGCATTCCTTGCACGTCACAAACAAAGCGGTAGACGTAACGCTTTCCTGCTGTTTTGTGAATGATGTTTTTGTGGTAGTAGTAGCGCAGACCACGACTTAGCTTCTCGTAGTTCATTTTAGGCTTGTTTTTACACTGGCCCCACCGCTTCGCCACCTGGAGGAGACAAGGGAGATGTATCTCAAACCAACCAGTAAGACCTCTTCAGAACAACTGAGAGAATGTGGAAAATGCCAGATGTAAAGATAACAAGTGCCCTTTTGCTTACAATATTTTGAGACTGTATGTGTTGTTGTGTTTTGGTTGAACTATGAATTTTACCTCTGCAGGATCGGACATTTTAAACTCCCAGCCATCCCCAGTCCAGTTAATGAAAGTGTGGCAAGCAGAATCCAGCAGAAGTTCTAGCAGAAACTGCCAAAGCTGGATGGGTCCGGATCCTGATGGACAACAAACAATATCTAGTCATATATCTCGACATGAACAAATGATTTTCACTCTGTGTTATGAAAAATATTAATTTTTTTAGAAGTTCCTATGATAATACCTCACCTGGATAGGCGGACATGGGTGTCATTTCCCCCTCTCTGTCTGATCTTTGAGATGGTACGTTACGCCTTTTGGCCACACGGGGACAGAACTGCTCAGAGGATTTAGTAAGTGGAGGTGATGAAGAGGATGCTGGCTGTCCAAGCATGGAAGAGCAGTAACTGGGTGAGGCATAGTCGGACCAATATGAAGGCCTGCTTTGCTGCTCTGCCTCATACAAGGCATATGTTCTCTCAGTATCACCTACACAAGCAAAACACGAGTTAATATTTCAATGACAGTATTTAAAAAATGAAAGAAAGTCCTTGTCAATAATAAGTATGAACGTTTATATAATTTAAAAAATTTGTAAAAAATGTTTTATATATATGATTTATATATATCATAATAAGTCTATGTATCTCTCAAATGCTTACCCAGATGGTCCAGATTGACGGTACCGGATGCTGCTCTGTGATTTGGACCTTTCCCAGGTTGGTAATGGCTGCTGGTGTCCATCCCTGGGCTGAATGGACTGCTTTGTGCTGGAGTACACAGAGGGACGAGGTTCTGGTAGGTTTGATTTGATTCCTGAAAGGCAACCTGCTGCCTGTCTGCAACCATTCCTTCTGGAACTTTGGAAAATGACACAGCATGAGGCCACGTCACTTAAAAAAGAATTTCAAACATCTTTAGAAGAAGAAAAAAAAAGAGTGCTGTCATTTGATACTTACTATTAGTGTAAGATGCCCAACAGCTAAACTCAGGGAAGGAGTCCAGATTAAAGAGACCAGAGTCAGTGGAGTTGACTGCAAGAGTATGACCTATTCATTAAAAACACACAAAATGTTTGTAATCATTAAAGTACTCGTCTGCATCGTGATTTAATATAATGCATAGGAATATGTACATCATGGGATGGTTACCTTTAGAACTGTGCAAATGCTCCTTCTGGGACTCTGAATATGTTTCTGGATACTGCTGTTGGGCAGGTCCTTTGCTGTCTAATAAAAAGGACAGGTCTTCACCACTGCAGTCTGGAGGTACATTATCAAATATGTAAAATGAATAAGAGTGTCAGGAGAAATGGTGTATTCTAGAATTAACAATGGATCAATGGAAGTGACCTCCCATAAAGTTTTCTACACCTAGTCTGAACTGTGCTAGAAATGAAAGGAAACACTAGTAAAGGGGCCGTGACAGAGTGATGAAGGAGAGGGGGTGCTAAATCTGTTTGAGGAGGAAGTCTGGAGGAAAGGATTAGGAAGAGAGGTAGGGAGCAGAAAAAACGGGTGTATCTTTAACCCAACCACCCCTTTTTTCTACATCCCTGGTTTGGACATTCCTAAATCTCAGAGCATGCATAGCCTGACATCCCCTTTTCCTGATGAGCTTTGAATTAGTGCACACAAACAAGATGTCAAGGTCTGATTTTTAGGGTTTTGACAGGGGTGTTGCAATGCTGGCTTTGCAGCTCAAGGACAACGGAAATGTTTTGCACGGACATTCAGGAAACAAAGCTGGAGAAATACTAAATCCCACAAAATCGGACAGATTTTTCCCTTGAGGGCAAATTGAATGTGATAATTGCAAATATGGGCTTCCATGTTATTTCTTTATTGAGAGAGATAACTGAACATTTTACTATGCAGAGTTTCATATTTAAACACTGGATGGAGAAAAAAAACATGTTGAAATAAGATATTACCATATAAGCTGAAGTCAAATCCACCAGGAACCTCCTGACTTCTGAAGTCTTCTGTGTAAAATCCAGCTTGACACATTTCCATATCTGAAGAAAAAATAAACAGTGATTTAGATAACTAATGTAGAATATTCTCTTCATTGGGTTAGTTTTATGTTTTGTCAGTCTAATTATAAATTATAAATAATTATAAACACCCTTGAGTATAATTTATTAAACATATCAGTGTGTGTAAAACAGTCCATTATTTTCAATGGCAGCCAGTGATTCAAACACTTATAATAGCTACTGATTAAAAATCTCAGATCGCAAATGACATTGAAATCTAATGGAATAGAAACCCTTACCTTACACTGAGTCCTTTTTCCAGATATCAAGGATTTACTACAGCTTCAAGCGCTGCCTTGCAGTTCTGTTGACTGTTGCTGCTTGCCTCAGGACCGTTATAAAGAGGCCGTGCGCGATGGGGCGTGTCCGCGAGTCTCGTGAAGGAATGCGTCGTGACTGAGGTTCCCTCCTTTTACTCCTCGTGACGTCAGACAGGAGTCACGACCACAGATTTGTTACCCTTCCATTCATAGAAAAGGTGCCCATGGGGAGTAGAAAAAACATCACTGGATAGGTTTGACGGACATGTCCCTTCATATTTTCCCCCCGAATACGAGACCGTTTGACCTAAATGTTTTGATGTAAGATTAAAAGGCTTAAACAATCTCGAAAGACCATAGGTCTATGAATCTTTCGCGTTTTCTCAAATTAAATGACAGTCCGTTTAATTGGGCCTTCTGTTTACTCTCAAAAATAAATACTATTCGAATCTATGGTTTCATGAACGTTTAATATCCATGGAACCTCTCCATTGCGCAAAAGCATCTTCATAATGGAAAAAGGTTCTTTAGATTATTACAAAGTTCTGGTTCTTTTTAGAACGGTTCACTGTTTTTTGGGGGGGGGGGGAGGGGTACTTCTATGGCATCACTGCGAAAACTCCCATTTGGAAACTTTACTTTTAGTGCTCTGTGCTCTGGTTGGTCATTCAGCATCCTGGTGATAAGAAACTCTGGAAATAACACTGAAACATATATCCAAAACAACACAACTCTGCGAAACGACCGGACTATAGTCTGTCCCTCACAGCCTCGTTTTCATTCATAAATTAAAAATGGGATCAAACTTGAATGTGATCTACACTCTTAAAAATAAAGGTGCTTCAAGGGACTTCTATGGCATCACTGCGAAAACTCCCATTTGGAAACTTTACTTTTAGTGCTCTGAATATGTGTTGGTCATTCAGCATCCTGGTGATAAGAAACTCTGGAAATAACACTGAAACATATATCCAAAACAACACAACTCTGCGAAACGACCGGACTATAGTCTGTCCCTCACAGCCTCGTTTTCATTCATAAATTAAAAATGGGATCAAACTTGAATGTGATCTACACTCTTAAAAATAAAGGTGCTTCAAAAGGTTCTTCAAGCGATGCCATAGAAGAACCATTTTTGGTTCCACAAAGAACCATTCAGTCAAAGGTTCTTTAAAGAACCATCTCTTTCTTACCTTTTTATAATCTGAAGAACCTTCTTTCGCCACAAAGAACCTTTTGTGAAACAGAAGGGTTCTTCAGATGTTAAAGGTTATGGAACCATTTAGACAAAAAGGTTCTTCTGTGGCATCGTGAACCACCTTTATTTTTAAGAGTGTATAGTACTAACATTGCTAAAGTGTTTCAAACCCCTAATCAATTTGAATTGTTTTGAATCTATGATTGTTTTATTAGCTGGCCTACGGCTATAGGCTATACGAAGTACAACAATTACTAACATTATTATAATGATGAAATGTATCGAATAGAAATGTAGGCTACAACAGCAACGTTTTCGTGTTGCGTGTAACTTGCTAGAACTTAGAAAACGAAATATGTAGGAATATGAATTATACATCTGAACTGCATTCATTCGATTTTTGTCTGAAATATGTGATCTAATATTTTGCATCAATAAATGAGAACTGACTACCATTAGGCCTGGCCGAAACTAGAACAGTTGAGGCTAATTTGTTGGGGTCTATATCACTTAACGATCTGAATACATTCTTGTAAAGTGACGAGAGGAGAAATGTTCTAGCTGGAAGTTAGAAATAAGATCAATCAGAACCAGCAACTTAGACTTTAATGAGGCGTTCGTATCTTTAAAAGCCATTCAAGAGAACAATGGCCTGTAAAATTCCGAGTCGAGGAGGCCTGAAATCACGGCGTGAGTGCTTTGCACAGATAAGACCAACCCAAGGGTCTTGTACAAACAAACACCTCAGGCCATTTTCCTCCGGCGCGCAGAAAAAATACATCTGGAAAAGTTGCCAAATCGTGCAAGGCTTGAGTCGTGATTGTAGGAGCCCGCTCACTGAAGAGGATACAATCAGTGTCGAATTCCCATGGCACCTCCACATGTGCACGCACTGTCCCTGAATTCAACATGAAGAGATGATAAAAAATACTGTTTGTATAATACTTACTTTTGTAGTTAGTATAAAAAACATTTAGACACACTAACATCTATTCAGGTTACTAAAATACTATTTTTTTCAGAATACTTGTTTAATCATTAAACTATTAAGTAATGTGTGCGGATTAGACAATCTATTATTCATCTGCTTTCATTTTTATATATTTTTTATATATGTGCATAATACAACGGATTCTCTTCAGTTCCAAGAGTTTTGAAGCTCTTTTATGCAGCTGTTGATCTATGATACTGATACAGTGGTTCATATCACTAGTTTGTGGTTTGAAAATTCTAACTTAAGGCGCGATTTCCTGCATTTTTTATTTTATTTGATATGTTTGAAGAAAAGGTCAAATGTGTATCTATTTAAAATCAAGGTAAATAACATAAAACGTAGGCTAGAAGCCTATTAATGCCTGTTATGTTCTTAATCGTAAATGCTAATCAATCAAGCAATGAAAAAGGAAATAAAATAAAATATGACCACCATAAAAGTGCAATAGCCTACCACAAGTGGTTAAAATAAAGTTCTAGGTAAAATGTTCACATATACAAATCAAGGCTGTAGATCTTCGTTTAATAGATTTTCACCGCAAATATATATATATATTTTTAAATTGTTCTATATTGTTCTTAAATGGAAAAAGGTCCGATTTGAAAAATTACTTTGTAATAGTTTGCAAAACCTCATTATAATCAGTGAATTTTGAACAGTAGGTTTTGGTTTAACAAATATTCTAAGGAGTTAGTGCAATATGAGTTCACCAATAAGGAACAGAGCTAGATGCTTTTGTGTGACTTCACTTCCCAATTTTAGAAAGGAGAGCTCAAAAAGAAAAAAAACCCCGTTGCCATCCGGTTATGGTCTAAGCGAAAATAGTATGGTTTGCGCCTATGACTAAATGCGCCTGTGCACACAAGTCGATGCGTTTCAGCTGTGTTATCAAAGTACCTGGGTTTACATAGCTTAAGTTTACCAAAGTATTTTCTTCATGAACTCCACAGAAATCTGCAATGGACTGTACTATTAAGGTAGGCGTTTGATCTGGTTTATTGTCTGTTCTGAAAACGAGTAGCGAGTGCGCAACACCCACACGGTTAGCGAGACTACTGGTGAGAGAGGCAAGGCGGTGATGCAGGTCCCCACTCTTTCCTTCTTGTACAAAATTTCCTCTTCCTTCCCGTTCGTGGTTGAATGTCGGCTCTTTAATAACACAAGAAACCGCTACAACATTTAGACTCAGATAAAAAACGAAATGGTGTCCACAGCGCGCGAGAGGGGGTATGCACAAATTTGTTTTTCTTTTTTTAACAGTTACGTTCTAGGATGCAAAATTGTATATTTAATGAGCTATCCAAGGCACTTAAGTACATGTAGCTAACCTGTTTTTTTTTTGCTTACCATCATAAGAACGACGAAAACTCAAGCAAATGCAAACTGGAAAACAAAATACCGAATTTCACATATGGCCCAATTATAGCGGGGCGCTCTCGAGGCAGGTGGCTTTATGGCGCCAACAACAAGGTACTAATACTGTGGAGACTTAAAAAAAAAAGCACAAAACGAAGTGTGTCTGGTATTTTTATTTTGCATACCTTCGACTCGTTCAAATTGACACGACACTTTGCAAGAACTAATATGTGAATGTGTATTAACTGTGATAAACGGCATAGGCTGAATTTCGTTAGATTTATTTGGATGGTAACATGTCACGGCAGAAAATGCTGGCAAGCAACAGTTAATATTAATAATACATTACGTGGCTAAGTGTTTTATTCGTGCTGAAAACTTCCCAGTAAAGCTACATAATTGTGATTATGTTGATTATTATGTTGAAGATTAGCTGAGCGAGTGATAGGTTCATTAGTTATTATTCTAGAACCTGGATTAATTACGAGCTTAAACTGTACATTCATTAAAAAAAACAAAACGAAACAAAACAAACCAAACCAAACAAAAACAGGGACTAATCATAAAATGACGCCAATCCCAGTCATTATCTGCGTATTGTAATTAATTTCGATGATATTTAAATACTGTCGTCAGTTGGTTACTGTTTGCTAGTTGTTGTCTTATTATGTGTGTTTTATTTACAATAATATGTATTTTTTATATACAAATAGCGGCTGTATTCTTTTTAAATTGACATGATCTTCAAACAAGTGTAAAAAGGCGCTCTCTTTAACGTGTAAAAATAATATATCGTAAATATATTATAATTTCTCACTTTGTTCATTTTTTTTTTGTTTTAGCCAGCAACTTGAATGTGACGCATTGGAGTTGTTTTATTGTTAATTCTGCAAAAAAATGTGTTGATTCATCTTGTCCTTTTACGCAATGATCTCTACACATCCCCTTTGCAAACTAGAGCAGACGGGTAGCCTGCTGCATTCCGGCGTATGGTGTTTGTAGTTATTCCATGCCTGATTTAGTTCTTTAAGGAATAAGTTATAGCAATGTGCTGGGCGCTTGTCAGGTGTCGTTATCAGAGCTGAGCAGGCTTCCTGTCTCAAACCTCAGACTTTCCGCACACACTTCCGCAGTCTCTCTTCGAAAAAAAAGGCAACAAAGACTGACAAAACAAAAACGATCCGATAGATGTGCGATGCCAATGCATTGTTCTACATTTCAATTAAATTATCGGACAATCATCTGAAACGAATTCGAACGCGCTGCGTCTCCATGCGCTGTGGCGTCCTGCTAATGCAGCGTCTCCTCAGAAAAGCGCCCCCGTCTCTCCACTTGCAAGATGTTGCTGATTAAAACTTGTGAAAACCACAAAGTGTTTTTTTGCAGCTGCGTGTCTCTTTGCAAAATCAGCATGCCTTAACGTCAACTTCTGCTTTCTTTCACTCTCGCAAACTGACTAACATCGTAACTGTGAAAATTCTAGCTCT